TCACCAAAATGTCCGTGCACAGTTTTTAGGAGGCCTCCAGAGTGCTCCTGGGAGCTGGGGAGGGCAGAAATGAGTGAAAAATGGACCATTTTTAACTCAATTTTGCCCCCCCCCCAGTCCCCAGGAGCACTCTATAAGTGTCCTAAAGGCTATTCATGCCCTTTTTTTTTGACAAAAAACGGGCCAGTTTTTGTGAAAAACGGGCCGTTTTTTGCTCATTTTTGGCCCACCTCCAGCCCCCAGGAGCACTCTACAAGCCTCCTAAAGGCTATTCATGCCCTTTTTTTTTTTTTTGACAAAAAACGGGCCAGTTTTTGTGAAAAACGGGCCGTTTTTTGCTCATTTTTGGCCCACCTCCAGCCCCCAGGAGCACTCTACAAGCCTCCTAAAGGCTATTCATGCCCTTTTTTTTTTTTTGAAAAAAAACGGGCCAGTTTTTTTGAAAAACGGGCCGTTTTTTGCTCATTTTTGGCCCACCTCCAGCCCCCAGGAGCACTCTGGAGGCCTCCTAAAAACTGTGCACGGACATTTTGGTGAAGGGGGTGGAGTTTCAGGAGACAAAAAATGCTGTGTTCAGTGTATAAGACACCCCCAGATTTTCAGCCTCTTTTTTGAGGGAAAAATGTGTGTCTTATACTCCGAAAAATACAATATGCTTAAATAGCAACGTCTAGGCCTGTGATGGCGAACCAATGGCATGTGGAGCCATGTTGCCTGCCACATGCAACATCACCCACTCCTCTTCTGGGTTTCTGGCGCACATGTGCCCGCAATGATCAGCTGGCCTTTGTGTGTGCAGCAGTGCCAGAAGCCAGAATGGCTGATCTTCTGTTTTCTGGTGTGAGCATGTGTGGCAGTCAGCTGACTGGCACATGAGCACGTTCGGCAGTAACTCGCTGGCCAGCATGCCTGTGCATACCGCAAACTGGAACTTCATTTACCGGCACGCACATGCTCCTCTTCCTGGTCGCGGCACAGATGAGCGCACCACTGGTCTGGGCCATCTAATCATTGACATGCAGCATCACTTATATTTTTTTTAAAAAACCAGCCACTGGACCAGGAAATGCCCTCAGCTTACAGCCAGTCACAACGTGATTTTAGTTTGGGGGTCTGGGACCCCGCGGTCACACTGAGGGGAGGATACGATGCCCACTAGAAAGTCCTAGTGAGTACCATGTGAGGTGCAAATCCTATTCAGGACTGTCCATGGCTGACGTGGTATACTGGTAATCCTCAACTTACAACCAGAATTGAGCCCAGCATTGATGGTGCTGAGGAATTCATTGAGTTTTGCCCCATTTTAGGATTTTTCTTGCTACCTTTGTGGAATGAATCAGTGCAGTTGGTAGGTTAGTCACATGGTCGTTAGGTGGAATCTGACTTCCTCATTGACTTCGCTTGTCAGAAAGTCGCAAAAGGGGATCACATGAGCTTGGGACACATCAAACGGTCATAAATATGAACCCGTTACCAAGCATCTGAATTCTGATCACACGACAATGGGGATGCTGCAAAGACTGCAACTCTGCAAACTGCTCCTCAGTCACGTTTTTCACTGCTGTTGTAACTTTGATGGTCACTAAATGAATTGTTGTAAGTCGAGGACTACCTGTACTTGTTATGACCAAGGGTGCCAGGGTTCTCTCAGAAGAATCAAGGTAATGTATGTGGAGCCTTCATTTTTCTCCCCTTTTCAGCTGCATTGGTGTCTTCTCGACCCACCAAGCAACTTTAACCCAGGTCCTCAGTAATTTTCATGTCATAAAAATAGGAGATTCTGTTTTGTATTGTAAATCTACAATGAAATACAAATAAGTGACTTACACCAGTTCATAAAGTGACTGTTCAAAGTTACAATGGCACTATAATTGTGACAAGACCATTCTTCAGAGTTACGGTCTTTGCAGAATCCTCATGTGATCCAAATTCAGACACTTGGCAATGGGTTCATACTTACGACGGTTGCAGTATCCCAAGGTTGTGTGATCCCCTTTTGTGACCTTCTGACAAGCAAAGTCAATGGGGAAGCCCCATTCACCTAACAGCCGGGTCACTACCTTATCAACTGCAGCGATTCACCTAACAACTGTGGCTAGAAAGGATGACAAATGGGGCAAAAATCACTTAACTGTCTCACTTCGCAACATAGAAATTGGGCTCAATTGTGACCATAAGTCGAGGACTACCTGTAGAACCTATTTTGCGAAAAACAGCAAGCAAAATGTCCTAAAATGGGAGATACTGAACGGTGAGACTCAGAAATTTCCTGCACATCAATCCTATTGACAAGGAGCTAAAAATGTTACCGTATTTTTGAGACTATAAGACGCACCAAGATTTCAAAGAGGTAAGTAAGAAACATTGACGCACCAACATTCTACTCTTTTAGGGGGGAGGGGAGATGCTTCTTATACTCCCAAAAATATGGTGATTCTGAATAGAATTCAAAGTTCTACACCCAAAAATTCTCAAAGAAAAAAACGACAGTAATGTGAATTTGGAACTCAGTTATGCTAAAGCACAGATCCCTCCGGTCTCTGATCACAGATCTCCTAACATACTGCTTCTTTTGACACAGACCTTCGCTCCTTCTGCAATTGCATCCATTGTCCAGCCATAAGTGGGCACAAATTTCAGAGCTGCTGTCAGGATCCGATTCTGTATCTGCTCCTCACTCTCGTGGCCCTCCGATTCTTCACCCCCCTGATCTGTGTAGCTAGGGGTAAAAACATAGGAAGGCATGTCTTACAAGCACTTTTAAACACTACAAGTCCAAAGCTTTTATTATTTTTTCCCAATTATAATTGATGCCGTCATGAAACAGTGCATGCCTTTGTTTGATAAATGGTTGATTTAGTTTGTTTAGACACAGTATTTTTGGCTACAACACAGTATTTTTGGCTACAACATTATTGGCATCTTTGTTTAGACACAGTATTTTTGGTTACAACATTATTGGCATCTTTGATTAAAAAAAAAACTTAAGACATACATAAAATAAACCACATCTATCAATGTTTACAAGTGCATGAAGACCTCCCCCAATCATTCTAGAGATTCTTGGTTCACAACATCGCTCAGGTGTCAATTTGAACGCTGCTTTGCAAAATTCTCAAGAGTAAGATGGAAGAATGCCAGCTACTAAATTACTCACTAAAATGTGTTCATTATACTTTTTCCAAAGCAAAGAATTGCTACTTTGGGGAAAAAAGAAAGTGCACGGCCATTTGGGACAGAAATTATGCAAATTACCTGGGGTGTGAGCTTGGATGCTTTTCTTCTATGGGTGAATATGCTGAATATTGCTGACCGGGAGGTGGGAAGGGGGGCTGTTTCTGTTCTTCTGAAGCTCTTTGCAGTGCCAGTGCAGGATGGAAGGCCCGCTGAGACTGATACAGCTGCCTTCGAAAGACTGAAAACAGAAATTAGTTGAATAACATACAAACCTAATGGATCATCTTGTATGCTGTGGAGCCCCCCCCCCCCTTTATACATTTCAGAATTCGAAGCTAAAGCCTATGCACAAAATCACATGCCTAAGAGTAAGACATATATATATCCCAAATATGTCACTGATATGCCAGACAAGTATTGTCTAAAAACCCAAGTCTTCTTTCATAACATGCCAAATAAAGTTATCTAATAAAAGCTACTTCCAGTAATGACTTACAAATGAGGCTGGAATTATCTACAAAGCCTTAGGCCCATTAAAATATTCTTGAATCTTGATTATGTGCCATCCATCCAGTCAGCATCACCTCCTCCTAGCAATCCCCAAGATGATTGGTCTCCAACCTGATCCTTCAACAATCCACCTACTGTTACTGTAAAAGGTAAAGGTTCGACTTGAACATCTTAGCTAGTCGTTCCTAACTCTAGGGGGCAATGCTCATCTCCATTTCAAAGCCGAAGAGCCAGAGCTGTCCAAAGATGTCTCTGTAGTCATGTGGCCGGTATGACTAAACACTGAAGGCGCACAAAAGGGTGTTACCTTCCCACCACTGTTAACTGTAATTGAATCCATCTACCTTGTTGTTTCTCTTCTGCCTTGTCCCTCATCCCACCTTTCACCATGTTCTATACTTTTTCAAGGAGGTTGGTCTTTGCATAATGTGTCTGAAAAAAATGAGCCTCAAGGAAGCATTCTGGATCAACGCTTGTTGAATTACCCATTTGTTTCCTTTCTTGGCTGCTCATGGAGTTCTCAGTTTTCTCCAACATCAAAGTCCAAAGACGCCAATACTCTTCCTCTCCTGCTTCTTCTAAGTCCAATTTACTGTAAGAAGTTAGCCCCCACCCCTCTCCTAGGAAAAGGTGATATTTTAGGAAATATTCAAAGGGCAGAATATTTCCCCTAAAAGGGAGGCAGAAACTCAGCCCACCCACCACCACCTTTGTCAATGAGCCATTAAGGCCTGGGCCAGTCTATTCT